GCTTGCGTCCTAACTGTGTGTCCCCAAGCATGATCCTCAGTTGGGTCAAAAGACTCCCATTGTCTATAAGACACAACAAGGTTGAAACAGTAATACAGTGCCCCACAACCTTCCATCTCTCTTCTCCATTATTCTGTTTATTGTAATATATGCATCTGCATGTATTTCGGTGGCATGAAATTCCCTTAGTCCTTTGTAGAAAACTGACCAAGACACAGTGCATTCATTGTTTGGGCGAATAGGAAACACAAGTGAATGGAGAAGATGATGCAAAGCATAAAGTAGTCTGCCTGCATAATGCATCCGCAGGCCAAAAGGAAGAAAATGTGTTACAGAAAGAAAAGATGGCTTTTGTATACCCCTCAATCATGCGAAAGAAAATCATTTTCGGCATTTTTCGGCATTAATCTCACTCGGTAAGGCAAGCAAGTTCTAAACATCTTGTCTCCACTGAATGCATTGCGTCAGTGTGATTGGAAATCACAAGTATCCTGGGCTGATATTCGGTAAACTTTCGCAAATATTTCTATGCGTTAACCGTTGAAGTTAGATTATTAAGTGTGGCATATAAACTGGTAAATTCGGAGGGAGGATAAGTCACCACAATAAAGACAATCTCCAGTCAACAACGGAGCCTAAAACTGCGTGTATCGCTTACGTCTTCCATCTCAGTGACTTGACCATCACATTTATTTCAAGCCTCATAATATTCATCATGTATCTCACACAGTGAGCTATTGATGATACTCTTTGAAATCATTCCCCTTTACTGGAAACCAAACATTGGCTACCAACGAAATTGTCAAAGTTCATCTTTGAAAGGTATCAAAAATACCCCATCTAAAATTAAAGACCAGTTTTGAAGAATTGTTAGCATTCAATCAATTATACGATTTAGCAGATGGATGCTTTGTTTTTTAATCGGGAAAATTGCAGAAGTTTTGGTGGGATCCAGGTCTAGGTACGGATGCTGGCAGCGCCTATGTATATCGCACGCACTACCAGCTGAACTAAGAGATA